GACACTTGTATACATATATATATATATATATATATATATATATATAGACACTTGTATATATATATATGTATATATTGCAGGACGCACAAGCAATAGTGCCACCCGCGAATTCTTTTTGCAACCCCCAAATATAGCAAGGACATACCCAAACCCGCCATTGTCCACATTTTCGCCATCGTCCCATTCATCCAGCGGATCTTCCACATCCTTTGGCTCGTCTTTACTGTCCACCTGTTCTTGACGGCCACTAGACACCGACTGGGGTAGGTAAAACGGTGGAGAATAAGGAGTGTAGGTAAAGGAGGTGAGGATATAAGCAACTAAGGTGGATATATGGGTGATGAAATAAGAGACTGGGGTAGATAAAACGGGGGAGAATAAAGGAGTGTAGGTAGTAAACAAGATGTCGAAGGATAAGAAGGTAAATGATATGCTGGAAAATATGAGATCGGTAGAAATAGTTGAGACAAGGAGGAGGTAGACGAATGGGTGAGAAACTAAGCATGTGCGCAATAGCATGATACCTACATTTGTCATTTGTATGATTGTACTGACCCTTCACGCGACCCCTCCAGAGTGACTTACTCTCATTTGTTGGTATACGGAAGCATGTGAAACTAAGGAGGACAGATATGTTTCAGCCCAATCACTATTGAGAGAAGTTCTATAATGTATATATATGTATATATATATATATATATATATATATATATATATATATATATATATATATATATATATATATATATATATATATATATAGTATATAATAATAATAACAATAATAAAAATGTTTAAACACATATTTTCAATCGCATACTAAACTACCTACATACACACACTCCCACACCTCTCACCCATCAAACAACCCATCTCCACCCCCTCAAACCCCACACAATACCGCTCACTCACTCACCACATCTGCAACAGTACCAAACGCCTGCGCAAAGGCCATCTCCACTCTATTAACAATCTCTGCCTCTACCAACAGGTGTATCACCAGACGCTCCCTATTCCTCGCGTTGGTTAGTGACGAGTTGACCGCCACAAAGGCTGGGACGATATAGTCACGCCCAAAGGCAAACACCACGTGCACTGGCTCCAGCGCTCCGTCTGCAGAATCGGAATCAGAATGGGAGCCTGGGTCGGGTCCGCGGGCGGGGGCTTGGTCGGGTGGAGCGTCTATATATAGATGGGAGTAGATATAAATAGAACAGCGTGGGAGTAGACATAAATAGAATAGGGTGGGAGTAGATATTAATAGAACAGCGTGGGAGTAGATAATAATAGAACAACGTGGAAGTGGATATAAATATATTAGGGTGGGAGTAGACAATAATAGAACAGCGTGGGAGTAGACATAAATATAATAGGGTGGGAGTAGATATT